CGGTGACCAACGAGACGGAGCTGCTGGCCTGCCTGCGCGCCGCGCCGCCGCCGCAGCTGGTGGAGCACGAGGCGGCCGTGCTGCCGCAGCAGGGCGTCTTCCGCTTCGCCTTCGTGCCCGTGGTGGACGGCGAGTTCCTGGCCGACACCCCCGAGGCGCTGCTGGGCGCGCCGGGCCGCGCCGAGGCCGAGGTGCTGCTGGGCGCCGTGCAGGACGAGGGCACCTATTTCTTGGTGTACGGCGTGCCGGGTTTCGGCAAGGACAACGAGAGCCTGATCAGCCGCGAGGAGTTCCTGGGCGGCGTGCGGCTGGGCGTGCCGCAGGCCAACGAGCTGGCGGCCGAGGCCGTGGTGCTGCAGTACACCGACTGGCTGGACCAGGACAACCCGGTGAAGAACCGCGAGGCGCTGGACGACATCGTGGGCGACCACAACGTGGTGTGCCCGCTGATGCACTTCGCCCAGCGCTGGGCCGAGCGCGGCGGCACCGTCTTCGCTTATCTGTTCGACCACCGCGCCTCCAACCTGCTGTGGCCGCCGTGGATGGGCGTGCCGCACGGCTACGAGATCGAGTTCGTCTTCGGGCAGCCGCTGAACCCCGGGCTCAACTACACGGCCGAGGAGGAGGCGCTGAGCCGGCGCATCATGAGATACTGGGGCAACTTCGCCCGCACCGGGTACGGCCCGGGATGGAGAGGGGTTGAGTTGGGTTTGGTTGAGTTTGGTTGAGTTGGGATGGGTTAGAACGGGATGGGGTTGAGTTGAGTTGAGTTGGGATGGAGTTGTGTTGAGTTGGGATGGGTTGGGTTGGGACTGAGTTGGGATGAGTTGAGTTGGATGACCTCAATTGGCATGAGTTGAGTTGGGTTGACTTTGAGTTGAATGACCTTGCTTGGGTTGAGTTGGGATGAGTTGACTTGAGTCGAGTTGCATTGCAGTAAGCTGAGTTAGATGACTTTGGTTGAGATGAGTTAATTTGGGATGAGTTACCTTGAGTTGAGTTGAGCTGGGATGAATTGGGTTGGATTGAGTCGCGATGAGTTGGATTGGATGACCTCGGTTGGGATGAGTTGGGTTGGGATGAGTTTGCATTTTAGTTGAGTTGTGATGAGTTGGGTTGGATGACCTCCATTGGGAAGAGTTGAGTTGGGTTCAGTTGGGTTGGATGACCTCAGTTGGGTTGACTTGGGTTGGGATGAGTTGGGTTTACTTGGGTTGGATGACCTTGGCTGGGTTGAGTTGAGTCGGGATCAGTTGATTTCAGTTGGGTTGCATAACTTCAGTTGAGTTGAGTTGAGTTGGATGGCCTTGGTTGAGTTGAGTTGGATGGCCTTGGTTGTGTTGAGTTGAGTTGGATGGCCTTGGTTGAGTTGAGTTGAGTTGGATGGCCTTGGTTGTGTTGAGTTGAGTTGGATGGCCTTGGTTGAGTTGAGTTGAGTTGAGTTGGATGGCCTTGGTTGAGTTGAGTTGGGTAGGATGACCTCAGTTGAGTTGAGTTGGGTTGGATGACCACGGTTGGGTTGGGTTGATTTGTGTTGGGTTGAGTTGGGTTGATTTGGGTTGGGTTGGATGACCATGGTTGATTTGAGATGAGTTGGGTTGAGTGACCTGGGTTGGATTGAGTTGGATGACCATGGTTGGGTTGAGTTGGGTTGAATGACCATGGTTGGGTTGGGTTGAGTTGAGTTGAATTGGGTTGAGTTGGGTTGGGTTGGATGACCTCATTTGAGTTGAGTTGGGTTGGGTTGAATGACCTTGGTTGGGTTGGGCTGAGTTGAGTTGAGTTGAGTTGAGTTGGATGACCTCAGTTGAGCTGAGTTGGGTTGGGTTGGGTTGGATGACTTCAGTTGAGTTGAGTTGGGTTGGGTTGGATGACCATGGTTGGGTTGAATTGAGATGAATTGAGTTGAGTTGAGCTGGGTTGAGTTGAGTTTGGTTGGATGACCACAGTTGAGTTGGGTTGGGTTGAATTGAGTTGAGTTGAGTTGGGTTGGATGACCACGGTTGAGTTGAGTTGAGTCGGGTTGGGTTGGATGACCATGGCTGGGTTGGGTTGAGTTGGGTTGGATGACCATGGTTGCGTTATGGGAGGGACCCCAAAAAATGGGGGGAACCCCAAAAAATGGGAGGGACCCCAAATTTTGGGGAGGGGGAACCCCAAAATCGAAGCAAGACCCAAAACACGACACAGAGACAAAGTGGGGGGGGGGGGACACCCCAAAATTTTAATGGGGCAAAAAGGGGGGGGTCCCCAATTTTGGGGACCCCGAAAGTGGGAGGGATCTCTTGAGGAAGACCCCAAAAATTGGGGGACCCCAAAATTGAGGGGGATTTGGGGACCCCCCCAAGTTTGGGGGTTGAGAGAGGAATTTGGGGGGGTCCAGGGGGTTTTGGGGACCCCCCCAGTGAAGTTTTGGGGGGTCCTGGGGGGGGGGCTCCGACTTCAGGCTGCTGGAAAAAGGGGAAGGGGTGAGGGGACCCCCCAAATTTAGGGGGAGCACCCCAAAATTTTGGGGTTTTTTTTCGGGGGATCCCCCACCCCCCAAAACCGTACCCTGGTCGAAGTTCAGCTTCTTGGGGGGGGGGTCCCCAAATCCTTCG